CGGGCGACCGAGGGCGCCGGGCCGCGGGGCCCCTTCCCCCCAACTATCTACTGGAGAAGCTCTACTATACTCGCTATGTTGGACTCGTAGCACCTGCACAGGATCTTATTGCTGAAGGCGCGGACGTCAACACACAGGGCGGCAAATACGGCAACGCTTTCTAGGCCGCCTCATTGGAGGCCATCAAGAGAGAGTCCAACTGCTCCAAAGAAGCTGTACCATTACATCGTCTTGAAAACGCTCGGGCTCTAGAACTCCAGGCAATCTGGCGGAGAATCTTCGTCTTGGAGACCTTGAACCGTCTGATTCCCTCGACTGGCCGCCGGCGTTGACGGTTCTATAGTTGTTACCCCTCCTTAGAAGCGAGAGGTCATTATTCGACAGGTCGTTTAGCGGTCGTTCAACTGGTAATGCTGGTGACGGCACCCCTTCGTCGGGGACCTCTTTCCACCTAGGTCTGAAACCTATTTCTTCCGATTTCGGCGTACCCGGAACGAGGCAGCTGGGGCAACCCGGGCCGTGTTGGCCAGCGGCAAGCGGAGGAGCCTATCGAAAAGGGGACAGGAGTTGTAGACCGGCGGCTACGGCGGAGGCCGCGGCACGGCGTATGTTGGCCTCGCCAAACGTGAGCCTGGAGACAGAAGCGAGGCTGGTGCTGCTACGGCACGGTGGCCGCTTTCGCGACACATCAAATTTCGCATTTCTCGTTTTCACCATCAGGGTCAGATCGAGAAACCGTCGGGTAAGCATGCTCAATGTGACGAGGCGGAACCTCGCCGAAGTGGAGCGTATCCATCGGCTCGTTGAGCCTAGAGACTGGAGGCGGCAAAAGGCGGAACTAGAGGCATCTGGGAAAGACGGCCGCAGACAGCGTGAAGCAGCTGCTCAGGAATTTATCGCTCTATGGTGATCGCCAGCCGATGTTCAGGGAGAGCCGGCTGAGCATGCGGCGGGAGATAATCCTCCTCATCTTCCGTCGGGTCATCCCGGCAATTTCCGTCAGCTTAACCCAAGGCAGAGACACTGACCGAACTATCTTGCGAAACATTTTATCCAACAAGCTGCTTCGACTAGAACGAATATCCATTGAGATCACTAGCACTGTTGTATATAAACTATCCTACTGTTGCGTTGGCCCAGCAGTGTATTGCTTTGCTAGAAGTCCTCTCCGGAGATGACTCAAGGGAAGTCACCAATTATCTTGGTCAAACTCAACTGCTTCGGATTTTGAAACTGCTGTAGCATCTAGGGGACATTCTTTGAATCAGATCATCCGCTGCTTGATATGCGCCTCGTCCAAAACTTCAGAATGCCAAACTGCCGACTAAAACTACAACCCATGCTGGCATGTGCCCATTTCTCCTCTCCCTATCACCGACGCTGACAGTACCTCATCCTGTAGCCCTCACAAATATATACTCATGCGCCGGCCCACGGGTTTCCCCATTGTATTCAGGCTTCTCAACGCAAATGCCCACTTCTTCAGCCGGTACGTGATCCTCTCACCATACGAGTTTTTATCGAGTTGCAGAGCACCCAGCTTCTTGCAGGACTTGCAGCGCTGTTGAGATACCATCGTGTGGTAGCCGTTGTTTGGGAACCGCTGGATTACGGTGCTAATCTTTTTGCTGCTCCAGCTATTTTGCGAACACTTTTTGGTTGCGGCGTTCGAATCTGCATATGACGTGGTGGAATATTCGTCTATGGCTTCGTGGTTGTCTACGGCGAGGTTGAACCACGCCGGAGAATATCAACTCATCGGAGAGGGCACTCTTGACGTCTTCATTTAGGAATGGGAACATGGCGGTCGCATTTGAAAGTTTTCTCCTCTAGGTTTTGTTCAGCCTCTTGGCGAACGTCATGTTGAGAGACAACGGTCTGAGGATGATCTGAGCGACGAAACTTTAGGTTGATTACAGGTTGACGGAGTGATTACGGGGTTGTTCGAAGAGCCCGGCAAGAAACGTATGAACCTAGTCGCCAAATCCGTTTACCCTCCGGGAGTGTATCGGCATTATAAATGTCGACTAAGTTAGCGTTAGTGTCCGATTCGACCAGTTACTGTCATAGCGAACGGCGCTGTCAACTCATTAAGGACGGAAGGGATACATCATTCCCAGGCGTCATGACCGAATAGAAAGCGAGAATGACACTACAGTCAACCTCAATGCATCAAACTTATTATCTCTTCGTTTTTTGTAGTGGTGTATCCTTGTTGAATAACGTACATTAAGGTAAAGACATCATAGCAAACCTAAAGCCGACTTTAAAACGGCCGAGATATATATCAGAGAATAATATAAAAACTCTGCCGTGGGCGCCGGACAACTTCCACCCGAACTCGCGCTAGTATCTATGAAGGTTGCTGTAATTCGACAATTGGCAACTATTATATCAGTTGTAACGGTCCCAGGAGTATATTGCAACTAGCTGGTGACGACTCTACGAGTTTGTCTCGAATGGAGAGAGAAGAAGAAAAAGAGTGAAAGACTATGCAAGATATCTGCCGTCTTATCCTCCACATCCTTGGCCTGTGCGCCGATATCGAACAAGATAGAAGTCCACCGAATCTCGAGTCTTGGCCGAGAGTTTGCCGAGGCCTTAACGGGCCAAGCCCGTTACATCAGTTATCCACGCCCAAGCCCAGAATACCGAAGGACACATTGGATCATAGGGCCACTCAAGGTACTTGGTAAATATTCCTAATTTGAGAGCCGGGCAATCCGGATGGGATTCTCCAACAGGCAATGTATTGAGGTCTATAACCCAAGTTTTCCAAGAACTCTCCTGAGAGGGCTAGCGAACTTGAGACATGAACAGCTCGATGGGCGATGTCAGATGGGGTTGCTGCATGAGCTAGGGAGAGGGCGCAGTTAACACTTATGCGTGCCTCGTCTTCGAACTACAGCGCAGCCTCGCGCATTCTTTCCTCTCTCGCGGAGATCTGCCGTGTCCAGCCACGTTCCAGTCGCACCACGCCAGACGAGTGGTTCTGAGTTGCTCGCTCAACCACGTCGACTAGCGCAAACCCTTGGCTCGACTCGGGGCTTCCCAGCAACGTGACTTCCTAAACCTCCAGACACCTTCACGTCTGCGGTAGAAGCTCTACCTTCCTGTGAAGACGGACTTGGTCGTGTATAAGTTGGAGGCGCAGGTGGACCGAAGTCCGGGTTTTTCATGATGCAACTGAGAAGAAAGCGATTCATAAACACAAATGCTCAATGGCTGAGCAGACGTCTACGTGGTAAGTAAACGCCCGGAAACGAGTTCTCAATCCTCACTTCGGACCACCCTCCTCGCTGAGATCTGAATGCCTACAACTGCCTTACCAGAGGCAAAGCCCCGGCATTCCTAGTACTGCCACCTCGAGATAGATAAACGGCATCGCGTGCGAGCGCAATAATCTACTATGGCAGGAAGGAGATGATGCTAGCCGGTGCGTCGATTGCCGTGTAAGACCAAGGCTCGGGCCGGTCTGCGTTGCGAGCGATGTGAGAGAGAACCTCGGAGCTGATAGGAAAGACTTCGGCGCAAAATTGAAAGGCTCGAGATATGTGCCGTTTACGAAAAGCTGGAGTTTGGCTACGTATTCTGGTGTTGGATTAGCGGAGGATTCAACGCGATGCTGTGGCGTGTGGAATGGCTGGTTCCCCGGTGGTGTAGTATGAGGCCCTGCTAGCCCTCGCCCTAACGACCAGCCAATCATTATGCGCCTCAATCACAGCGCCGCATACCTGCAATTCCGTCAGCTAATGACGGACGCGGTCAAGCACGCAGCGCTCACGCGAGAGCGGGGTCGCGATGTGGCATCAATGAGGGTTGCAGGATCTGTGGCACTTCAGGCCAGTTGCCGCGACACTGCACAGTAAAATCTGATGCGATATAGGGAAGGAGATGGTGATGCAATCTCTGAATACGATACGACTGATGTAAGAGGAAGAAGGGTGCAGTGGCTGGAGGGCTGGCCAACCATGGCCTGCAGCCCGACAAGACGCCCACAAATGAAGCCATCACCACACGCTCTAATGCTAAGATATTTACGAGCCTATGGTGTTGAGCATCTCCCTTGCCCTCCATCTCGCGGCCCAAGCGAAATATTTCCCAGATTCCCGTAACCACTTTCCTCCCTATCATACGGCATTGGCGACGGCAGAAGAACGTGGAAGAGATCGACGATGCCGTCCAAATATTCGTCTCCTCGTCTGGAAGAAGACACCCAAAGTGTCGCGAACAGTGCGCTGTAATGGGTCCGTCCGTTAGCACATATGATGCGGTGGATGACGAGGGGTATAGCCCTGTACTGTATCAGTCACCAGCGGAGCCAACCTGTGCCGCGACATGGCAAGCCAATTTGTAACCGGAAAATTAGAGCCATGGATACGATCCGTACACCCAGCCGGGCAGGGTTCTGCATCTATCTACCTAAGTAGATTTCGAATCTACTAGTGGATAGAAAGCAGTGCTTTCAATCCACTCTATGCTGACTGTTGCCAAGCTTCTATCCACTCTACCCGAACCTCATCTACGTAGATTCAAAGTGGGTAGATTGCCAAGTGATTACTAATATCTGGGCACTTTAACAGAGTACCTCGCACAGCCTTCTCGAGGCTGCCCCAACAACCATCCCGGATTCGGTCTTCAGTATCTCACCCGGGCCCTCCAGGACCAGCCAGAACAAGGCCTCTCACTGATCGGGCCATGGCCGCTAAGAAGAGAGGGCGTGAGTGGGCAGCTGAGGCAGAGAAGATGGTACGTGGTCTCTGGGAACAGCAATATCGA